GTAAACCAAATACAATAATAGCATTACGTGTATTATATTATATAATATGACATGCATATCCAGGTAATATTTCACATTAAAAAAAATACTAATTATTTATTGTTATATTTATATAATATTGTACCTGCCATTGCAAGCTGACTATGCAGTTGTGTTTGCTATTGGGTCATTCTGTATCAAATCAACCAACTTTCAGAAACTTCCCCAGCTCAAATTTTTGATTTTGTAAATAATATTTTTTTCTGAAGAAAGATTAAGTTGTATAGCAATGAAAGCCAGAATATTAAATGTCATGGATGTATATTTACTGAGTAATCCACTATTTTGTAGAGGGGGGTCAAAATGGCAGCATCATTGTTATGTTTTTTTTACACATTGGTAGCTCTATTAGTAAAATCTGTTGACTTTAGTAATCTTTGTTGCATTATATGCCAATGGTGACTATTCAGAAATGGGGAAAAAGCACTTTTCAAGTTTTTTCTCCAAAGTCTGCTTGTCTGTAACTTAAGAAGTATTAAAGATAACTTAATGCCCTTTTTGATTTTGGGTTTTAACAATTTTTTTGGTATCTTCATTTTTAAGGCTCTACAGTATATGGTTCTTTTCCAGAGATATAGGGCTCTTTGCATAAATATTATACTTCTTTTCTTTGCAAAAGGAATGACTGAAGAGCAAATAATGTTGAAACTAGAAATGTGTCTTGTTTCCCTCTATCAAAACAATTGCACAGAACAGACCTGTCTCAATGCCATATATATTATTTTTCCATAGTTTGCGTGCCTGTAACTCAAGAAGTATTAAAGATATCTCAATATGATTTTAGATTCTGGTTTCCTTTTGGCACCTTCATTTTAAAGGGTCATGAAACCCCCTGTTTCAGCACTGGTTAGTTCTCTCCAAAGTTAAAAAAACCCCTAAAAAAGTGGCCGTGATGCGCTGCGAGTGGAGGGGGAAGAGGGGAGACAGACACAACACACACAGCTTTGGGTTCAGACGTTTGGGTTTCATTTAGCTCCCATCGAGTTAAAAACACAAATAAATGCACAGCCATTTGCACTCTCCATCGAAAACATATATATGAACGCGCTGTTGCACCTCTGATAACTTTTAAGGGTTATTCTGCTGGGTTTATATAAGCCTTTTGACGAGTTGTGTCAAGGAGCTGTAAAAACGGTTACACTCACTAACTGAATTAATCGCGTTTGTGCCGAACTCTTATTACAAAGCAAAAACACAACTCTCTCCTTCGATCCATGAACGTTTCTCTCAGTTAATGTGCGCGATGTCATCTTACAGTCTGAAGCGTCTGTCATAGCAAATCAACACATGCTGTTGTGAATAATTAAGCAAAGCGTCTTCTCATTGGATAAGAACATGCAGTCTGATGAATAATTTAATAGACACCGACACGTCATCGATGTACTATAGTCCTTTGCCACGTCACAAATTGTGACGTCAACACGATGTAGATTTTTAAACCCGGAAGTTGAAAATAGCACAAAAAAGCTTAAAATTAACCAGTTTTATCCAACAGTTAAAATGATCAGATTCTAACATTGCCTTCCATGATGAGCAACACAAACGCCTCTGCTAAAATCTCAGAAAAAGTAGTCTGGGGTTTCATGACCCTTTAAAGGCTCTATATGGTTCAGTTCCAGGAATACTGGAATCTCAATATGGCCCCAGGAGTAAATTGTTGAACTGTAAACATTTTCAGTCTCAAAAACCAAATGTGGGTCACTTTGCATTCAGCTGATTCTTTTTTTATTTTAAAGAGGAAGGTCTGAAGAACAAATAATTTTGAAACTAGAAATGTATCGTTTCCCTATATCAAAATAATTGCGTAGAGCATACCTGTCTGAGTGCCATAAATATTCTTTTCCCAAAGTTCGCATGTCTGTAACTCAAAAAGTATTAAAGATATCTCAATATGATTTTAGATTCTGGTTCTTAATAAACTTTTCTTTTGGAACCTTCATTTTCAAGGCCCTATATCGTTCAGTCTCAGAGATATGGTGATCTCAGTGCAGCTCCACACAAGAACCAGAAGCTAAAATCATATTAAGATATCTTTAATACTTCTTGAGTTAGAGGCATGCATACAAAAGAAAAATGACATTTTTGGCACTCAGATGTGCAATTTCTATAAAAATTGTCTTGATAACAATTGAAACAAGAACAAATGAAACAAGATATAATTTCAATGTCATTTAATATATAAACACACAGGACAAACATTTTTAGAGTGCTTGCATGTGTCAAACGCCTGCATTCGCATACACCTCAAATGGACTATACCAGTGTTTCCCAACCTTTTTTTTAGTCGCGGCACCCTTTGGAAATTTTAACAAACTTGTGGCACCCTACAAAATTAATTTTGTCACAATATTTGAATTTCTAACTTCGATATGATAATTTGAAAAGTATAGATATTCGGTACAACAGGAAAGAACTGCAGAATATAATGTCATACAGATATTTTTAATATTATTAAAAAAAATTGTCCATCAATGGTGGCAATCAGTAGGCTAATTTCTATTGAAGAGACCAATTTATATGACAGATTTTAATGTAGGCTTTTATACATATGTAAACATTATTTAATTACCATTATAACTAGCTATCTCACAAATTTTTGCTCACTCAGTGTTTTTTTAATTTTACAGTGGGGTAATTGTGGTGCAGTAGCACGAGATTCAATTCAAACTTTGAATTGAATAAAAAATGACAAGTAAGCAGTCAGTAATAAAATAAGAACAAAGCACAAATAAAAAATAACGACAGGCCTTCGAATGAAATAAATTGCTTT